ACTATTATTTCTTAAATTTTTAAGAATCACGATATTTGTTTTAAATTTTGATAGAAGAATAGTTTCTTTGATCATATTATTTGACAACATATTTTATATTCATAACAAGGGCGTTATGAATATAAAAAAAGGTTAATTTTTTTAACATCGCATTAAATCAGGTTTAAAGCTGTTCAATATTGTAAAACTGATAAAAATTAAAGAGTTAAAGATGATTTTGAAAGTCTAGAGATGGTCTTTCTTTGTTTTGTATATCAGTTGACTTCTTTAAAATATATGAATGCTATTATTAAATTTGCTATTTGTTTGCTAAAATATTCTATTTTTATATGAAATCAGATATTGCTATTAGGCATATAAGCGCAGTCACGAAATTGTGTTTTATATTAAGTAATATGCTTGTTACAAAATGCTATTATTTCTTCCACATTAATAAGTTATCAATCTGAAAAGATGATGACCTCTGATAACTCTGTATAACTTGTTGTCAGCGGTGCTTAGAAGTTCTATACATTACTGAATTTCAAGAACATCTATTTAATATGGAATTCAATCCACTTAAGTCCCAAATCCACTACTACCGCTATCTACCTCGCCATTTTAAGTTTTAAAATCGGGTACATAACATCCAATTTACTACAGTATGTAGAAGTAAAAAATTATACGAAGTTTCTATCCGTATGACTTGGCCTTTGACACGCAAATGAAAACGATAACTTTTCTTAAAATTTGTTTTTCATTTTTCTTCCAGTATAATTTTAATTTTTAACTTCTTTCTAAATTCCAACTGGAAGGATTTTTAAAGCTCCAAAAAGCCTTGTGTTTCGTTCTAACACCATTAAGGTGCCATTTAGGATTTGATGAAATAAAATAATTATCACTAAGAATGGTTGCATAGTGTCTGATATTAAGAATTACTCTAAAATACCCTTACACCAATTGAACGAATTTCATGATAAAACGAAAACATTAGCTATCCATACAAAACTATCAAACACCCACTATGTTATTATATAGAAATTTTACAGAGCAGAACGCATTTATCTTAGTATGTAATTTTACAAAAAAGTCGTTTTTCCATTTCTTCTATTGCTGCTGTTGAATAAAATATTATCGAATGTTAAATGGAGCTTGCGTTACGGTCGTTTTAGTCTTGAAAATGAATTCAGACAAAAACTCAGAATATGGGGTTTTTCTTTCCAAAAGAATTAATAAATGCTTGAGAACAGAATATCGACCGTCATTAACCGTTCCTTGCAACATTTAGTTTCAAAAACATTCTTTATGCATTAATGGAATAATGCTAACTTTTTTTTATGTTTGTTCAAATGTGCTAGATTATTTACTTAGTGTAGTTCCATTGATATTTTGTATTCTTTCATATTTTAAGGTGATTAGCTTGTTTTATAAATTCAGGATATTTTAGGCTTGGGGGGGGGATCGTGATGAGATGTAATGAGAGAACCCAATCTAAACTGCAAATTATGAAGAAAAATTGCATCAATGAATTTGACCAATGTTATGAGAAGGAACTGCGGTGGCTCAAGGAATAGAGCGCTCGCCTCCCAATTTGATGACCCGGGTTCGAATCCCAGGGATGGCTGGTCTATACGAAATCCGCATCTGGCTCGCACCGACCACAGTGCTAGCCTAAAATATCCTCAGTGGTAGACGGATCATGGGTTAGAGTCCCCTTGATGTCTGGCTAACCATGGGAGATTTTCGTGGTTTTCCTCTCCATGTAACACAGATGTGGGTTTGTTCCCTCAAAAAGTCCTACACGAAGTCAAATTTCTCCCAATACTTGATTCAGGAGTTCCCTTGTCTTCCGGGTTCAAAATTGCACGGTTATAGAGATGAACATTGGTAGTCGTGAACTCAAAATTGGTTCAGCTGTTCAACGACATTTATTAAAGAAATAAAATGTTGTGAGTAGGTATTTCAGCAGTGAATTCTATATAATAGGAAAGAAAACCGTTCACTATCCGATTTAAATAAATCTTTTTTTTTGTTAAATCTGCAACTAATTTTTTATTCTATGAATCAAGTTTCAAGAACACGCTTCATGCATTGATGAAATGTTACCCCCTTTTTCTTTTACCCGAATGCTCTTGACATTGTACATAGTGTAGTTTAATAAATATTTTAATAAATATTATATAATTCTTTTTAAGATGATTTAAAAGGTATGAAAATATTTATAATGCAGCTAGAGTAAAGTCTAAATTTTAGAATCGTTGGAGTTAAAAATCGCACTGTTAATTGGTTTTTAAAGAAACCTATAAACATCACACTTTTGATATCATTTTCATCGTTGATTGGCGATATATCGAAAAAAAGATTCATCAATAAAATAGGTTAAGCATTTTTCCTTCCCTCCTTTTTAATGAAGTTCCTTGTCTCATAGAAGAGCAATTTGAAAGTTATCCATCTATCCTCATACACAATGCTGTTTAACCGGTAAGTAAGCTTCATCACTGAATAAAATCAACGGAAAGCCTTGGCTGTTTCATTGGCGCCAAAAGGAATGTTTCTGTAATTTCCTAGCTTATTTTCTTATTGTCAACGGTAAAAGTCTATGAAATGACCTCAAAGAGTTTTCCTGCCTCAGAGAAAGCTTGTGAAATGTGGGTTAATAAAAGAGAAAGACGAGTTTCTTTTTGAATAGAGTTGTCCTTTAAATTACCGGCTTCGGAGAAATTTAGAATAAATTCCAATTCCATAAGAAGAAGTTTCTAATTATTTGGACCAAAGCTTTTTCTTAATCTTTTTATATTTTTTTGTTGCTTCTTTAGGCAGTTTAAATTTAATTAGGATCCTATTAATTATGAGGAAATATTTTTTAAAATTATGCGATAAAAAGCGGCATGCTTCTAAAATTTTGCATTTAGGTTGAGGATGACCTAGAAAACAACTGATACAGACGGGAAAAAACTCAATTTAAAAAAAAGTACATGTTTAGTTTCCTTCAATTGTTTTAATTGCAATTTTCTAATTATTACAATGAACACTAAAGCTAATTTGGGTTACATCCATATTCAACATGACAGCAATTAATAATGCTCATTAATGTGTTCAGAAGCTGAACATTCCATCAAAATTTGTCGTCTTTTTGGTAAAAATTAGGTCAGAACAGACCCTTTTATAGTCTAATGCAGCCGTTCCCAACTTTTTTCGGCTATGGAATCCTAAATAGTCGATCTTCTTTCATCGGAATCCAGATAATCATTAGCAATAAGGAGCAAATTAATTAAAGAATAGCAACCAAATATTTTACAAACATTTAATACAAATCCAATCATTTTCAATTTTTTTTTGCTTTCAATTAAGGTTTTCAGACGAAACAAAAACTTTTTATGAGTTGGAGAGTGGTTATTAGGAAAGCATATTTCTTTACTGTTGACTTTCATAAAAATAACCAAAATATTAAATCAATAATTTGCTGATTGTATTCAAAGCTCGTAATCCTAGGAGCCCTTGTGACCCGGCGACGAAGCCCTAAGGTTCCGCAGAACTCCTTAATCTAGTAAGTGAAGACAATTTGCTGAAAAAATCAAACCATGCCGATATTCAGCAAATATGCGGACAAATGGGAATTATACGGTTTTTCGCCACTTCTGCATCTCTGCACAGTTCATAGGATCCTAAATGTAATTGTTAATCAGAAATACTGTGGAATGCAAGGAATGTTCAAGTTTTAAGACACAGTTTGAAAATATCTTTTAATCTAGGCAAAATAAGCGGCTTATAGTAAATATTTAAATAATTGATATTTATTTAAGCTGTTATAGCAATATCAGTTGTTATAGTAATATTGTATTATTGTTATAGTATAGTTATACAATATTATATTGATCTGTTATTATAATATCATTGTGCTATTGCAATATCCGTTTTCCTGATAAGAAATGATCATGTATTTTAGTTTCTTGGAGCTTATTTGTAAAGCATCAGGGTAGAAGTTAAAATTTAAATAAATGATTTTGGGAAGTTTGCAGGATTTGCAATCTGAGTTCCAGTCTTGAACGTCCTGATCGGACATCACAATGATTTTCTTTCCTCCTTGTTCAGAATTTCTATATTCAGTAACCAATTGATACTTTTAACTTTTTTTATTCATGGCAATATATTTTATTGAAATTAAATACTAAATTTGTTTTCGAATTGAGTTTTTCTAAATGAAATTTTTAATTAACAACCTAGTCCTTAAGAATTTATCATAAGATGATGAATAAGATTTGAAGGAAGCCAATTCTGTGGAAGTTATATTATTCACATTATTGCTTAATCTTACGGATGTTCTAAAAGAAGAAAGAAAACGGTGTGATTATTTTATGCACTTATATTATTCTCAATGGTAATGACGTACTGAAAAAAAGTTTATAGTCTAAACCTTCAGAATATGATAAAATTTACAGTGTTTCTGGCTCTACGGGAACACAAAAATGATCGACAGTTTTTACGGAAACGCTTTGGTAATGATTTTGGTAAAATGAACAATAAAACATGGTTTTATAATATATGTAATGAAATTTGGTAATTTTACCATGATACCTTAAGGCATGGCATAAAAACCATCTATTCGGTTAAATTTACTTTTCAGTTTTGTATTTTTTGCTAAATAAGTAGATATAAGATCTAAAATTTTTGAAACAAGAATTTCTGACAAACCATTACCATATGAAGGGAAAAAAATTATCAATTGAATAGTTTAAATGCTGCATATTTTGGTTTTATAAACCATGATTATGCCTTTTTTTTACCAGAGATGTCACTATCTTACATTTACCAGATTTTTGTGAATTATAAGTACCAGATTTTATTTATAGTCTAGTAATTTCACCGTGTTATAATAAATTTTTTTTCATTGTTTATGAAGTATATGTATTCTACTTTTTATTTTACTTAGGAGAAAAATGAATAAACTTATGTTATATATCTTAAACAAGTGAATGTTTTGATATTTTTCTTCATTAATCATTATTACATTTTGTTTTCAGGAGAAATTTAGAAATGATCTGAAAACTTCTTTCTTACTGAACTATTGACAACCATGCATGGAATTATAAGAATTTAAATATAAAGTAAGCTATTTTGTATATGCTTTGAACAAATCTTTTACATATTTATCGCTTTTTTCAATATATGCTATATAATGAAATATAGCCACACATTTTACTGAGCAAAAAAAAGGAAGAAAAAAAGGGGGTGGGGCGGGGGAGTATACTTTCCCATACAAATCTTTAGCTTTTCTAAGAGAAGCTTTAATAATATTATTTGTTTATTATTCAGAACTTAAAACTAATTAATTTAGCTGTTGAAATAGGGGATACATATTATTAGTTTATAAGACAACTTTGGACTGGTATTTAATGAATTATTTTTCATAAGCTATATTGGCAAGCCAAATTATATTCTTCATAATATTTTCGTCATTATTTAATTTTTAATCTCACCGAATCCCTTACTCGATAAATGTATGGCTTATTTTTTAGTCAATATTAACTCAAGGTTATACAACCGAATATCAAAATCTATTTTCAATTTTTCTTTTTTAAAAATTATTTTCATTTTAACATAATTCTTTAATGGGTTGCTTTAATTTTAACGAACTTTTTGGGATTCATTTTTTGTGCCAAATTTTATGTATATGAACGTTAGACATCGTGGCTTGACTTTTAGCAAAATGCATGTTCGATAAGGCATCAATAATGGATCACGCTGTATAATCCGACCTAAGCTTAACGCTGTTTTTCGAAGCTCTGTCACCAAGGAAAAAGAGGTTTAAGTGTCTTACACTTGAAGCAATGCGATAATTTTAAATTATATATATAATCTTGCCGTGAATCTAAGCTTTAGACCAGACATATAACTCAAATATCTTAAATGTTATTAAACTTTTTTAAAAATTGCTAATCTGTTGACATTTTCCCACCTGGATGAAAATTATCAAAATCACTGCCGTATTCTTAGTTTTTGCAAATTTTTATGAGCCCAGGTACGCCTTGGAGTAAGTTTTTGAGTATTAAGAAATTTGACCACAAACGCTTTTCTTTTTTACAAAACTGTGGTTTTTCCCCATATGGACGCTGCACCATTTTCAAAATAAACGTAAAGCACGCTGGTTTTTGATAGACTAAACTTGACCTAACAGCCATATGTAACAGTTGCAAACTCACAGCTGTTATAAGAACAGCATATTATTCGCGAAAAAGCATCATTTCATATAACGACGGAGCCTTTGAAAAACAACCTTTATAGTTTATTTTGTAACTGGTTTTTGATTAAGCAGGGAATTCTTAAAATTCGTGGCCTGTTTCAATAAATCTCTGTTTCTATTAATTTTATCACTCAAGTTTATACAAAATATAACAGTGGATCTTAAAAATAATTTCGTTTTTCAAGTGGGCCTTAATGAAAATCTGGTTTCATTAAAATAAATGATTATACAATACTGTTATTATAACAGTAAATGATTTATTCGAATTTAGATGTAATTGTTCATGCTTTCAACATACACCGAAGAGCCATTACATTATGACCACCCTGCTAATAACATGTAGAACCACCTTTAGCCCTCAAAACTGCTAGCACCCACCGTGGCATTGATTCCACAAGGTGCTGATAGGTAGTCTGAGGTATCTGGTACCACGCGCTCACCAACATATATACATATATATATATATT